TTTACTTTTTAGTTTCTAGTTATTTGAGTGACTGTTGTGAATTTTGCCTTTTCTTTAATGGAAGGGGATGAATAAATGTGAGGATGACTTTTTAAAGTCCACTTAAAAGTGGACAAGTGTAGAATTTCATCTGAGGATCAATCAAAAACAGACAAACTACAGTACAAAATACAACCCCGAAAGCAGATAAATTACGTTAATACACCTGTGAAACCAAACTGAGTACATCTCTGATAGGAATTAGCTTAATTACATTAACATAGTCATAAAGTGAGCCGTGAACACCAGAACCTTCTCTGTTTTGGACCTATGGGCTGCATCCATCTGCATGTCAACATGGAAAAGAACCTGATTGTGAGACCTTCCAAGGTTAGAAAATGAGCAGGACGGGTTGGTGAACAACTAAACATGAGTGGAAACACAGTTGCAGCAGTAATCAGGAGGTTTAGAACGAGCTTTAGTACTAATTAGAGCTGCAAGGACCACAGGGGGACTTGCCACAGGGGATGGAAAATGGAGTTACTGTGACAGCTCAGGCAGTGCAAAAGACATTACATGGCATCAACCTCTCTGGATGGTGAACAAGACAGAACTTTGGCATAAAACTGCAACAATAAACTTCATCAAGAGCTTGAAAAGAAGCCTGATGAAACCTGGGAGGACGTTTTTGTAATCAGATGAGAACAAGGCGAGCATGTGGCCCAGCGTGTTTTGTGTGAACCTGGTCCGAACTACGACAATGAACAGACAGTCCTGACAGTGACGAGGTCAGAGTGTGACGATACGTGTCGGGGAGACGACATTCACAGATGGCATCATGAGTGTTTGTGGATTTACCAAAACGCTGGCTGACCAGACGACTCCCAGTCTGCAGAAGCTTGTCAGAAGAGGAATATTCCAGCGTGATAATGATCTAAAGCACGCTGCCAGAATCACAGGAGAGTTTCTGAAGAAGATAAAAGTACGACCCAGCCAAGGATGTCATCTGACTTCTATCTAACAGAACACCTTTGGGTTTTTTTTATAGATAAAGAAAGAGCAGCACAACCCCTCCAGGAAAGAGCAGAAGGGGAAAAAACAGGATCATCTCTCCAGAAGTTCGGTATCTTTCTTGATATGGAGGATTAAATCTGTCATTAAAATCAAGGTGGACGTGTGAAGTAGTGACAAAAATTCCTCAGCACCTCTTCACAGTGTTCTCCAGCTCAGGCAAGTGGTGTCAAAGCTGCATGAATTCTATTTAGTCTGGTCACATTTAAAAGCATAGATGTGTATAATAAAGACTCGATGTCTTAAGGCGGCGTTTCGAACGGGCTCACCGGCGGCCATCTTGATTCGGGACAGCTCTCTGGTGGAACCTCTGGTACGTGGAGGAAGGTGAGTGATCTGCACAAACATAAATACTCTTATCTCGCTGAAATCTTGACGGATTTACAAACGGTTTGGTTTCTTACAAACGTTATTGACGTGGCTACAAATCAAATTACAAAATTAAAATACAAATTGTTGCTGGCCGTGAGAGTGTAACATAATTATCTATAAGTACAGTGTTATAACTACACCTCTGACGTTTATAACAAACCAAACCGTTTGAAAATCGGTAGAAAATTGAGCCACTTATGGTTATTTAAAAACTACATGCACCACTACAACACAATGTTATGGGTGAGCTCGCCGACTGTACCAAGATGGCCGCCAGTGTGGCCGTGCGAGTCCATTGGCCGACAGCACAGACGAGACATCCAGCCTTTATTATACATATCTATGTTTAAAAGTGGCCAAAATGCAGATTCCATGTGGTTTGTGCTGTTCACACTGTTGTGGAACACTGACTAGAGTCACATATGAGCAGAACAATCTCATTCGTAGCATCAAGTAAGAGACAGAAAAAAAGACACACCGCATTTATTGCAAGGTTTTAAAGTTTAATTCTTGCACGTTTTTTTTCCCCTAAACATTGCTTCAGAAGAGAAATGGGAGCAGTTCTTGAAATCATACTTGAAAACATACAGAGAAAAAGGAGTTTGGCAAACTGAGAACGGGAATAAAACGGACCGACTCACCGGAAGGGAACTCATCCACGGACAGTAACAACAGAACACGGTACGACTTGTTGAAAATATCAATCGATGAACGGACGAACAGAGAAAAGGTCACAGCTACAGCAGTTGTCTGACGTTAGCACGGAAAAACCGTCATGATCAAAGCTGGATTTGTCAACAAAAAAAAAAAATAAAAACTTGTCGTTATAGAGAGGAAGAAAGAAAAAAAGTAAAACTCTATGCAGAGGTAGAGTTCAGTGCACAAGGCTATGACACACACCGAGTAACCAGCCGACAGGACGCCACGGGCCCGCGGTCCACGTTTCCCACCTCAGGAGTCACCACACTCGACTTATCTCTGGGTGCAGAAGACACCCGGCTGGGCTGTATGCACACACACATACAATAAATAGGATATACAATCTTTGAATACCTCTAATGGTTTGAACTCACAACAGCAACTCCAGTAACTTTACTTCCCCTAAAGACACACTTTGCACTTTTATTTTCCACTCATTCAAAGCACCGTGAGAGACTCTCTCTCTCCTCCCCGAAGACCTTTTTCATATACTTCATGTGCAAGCGGGCTGGGTCACAGCAACACGTCCAACATCCTTCATTTCTCCACCACTTTGGTACAGTTCTGTCCCTTCGTACGCCTGAAACCTCGCCGACCCGACCGACTGATTCTCTGGTAGCATGACAAACGACTTGGATCACAGTCGTGGAAGTCGCTAATGAAATGCACAAAACAAGCTAACGGCTAGCACGATGATGTCACATTTGAAATCTTTTTCTGAATTTTTTTTTTTTTATTCTATGGAGCAAAATGCATGAAAAAAAAACAAAACAAAAAACAGGTATTTCCAGGTTATGACGATATATCTCAGCATATATCGGTCCATTCAGTGGTATAGTGGAGGAGTGTCCAGTTGATCACAAGGCAAACAACCACTGTTATGAAATTAATATATTAAAAGCATTACTTTTTATGTTTTCAACCCATATCCTCCAATTAAACTCAACTAATTTTTAGGTTTACCCTCTGCTACATCCCTGTGTATTTCCTATTTTTGCTTGAAGAAAGGTCAAGAAAAAAAATCATGAAGTGAGCTGTTGATGAAAATAGTTTGACAGCTTTGCATTAATCCAGTAAATAGAAGAAACCGTGACGCTCTGAAACGGACAAAACGCTGTAAAAACTCACCAGATGATAGAACTGAATACATCAGTAAATAAAATTGTTCCTCTAAGCACCAATCATTTGGCAAAACATGTTGTCTTTAATTATTCAGCTGATTTATTAGAAAATAAATCAAATTGAAGTCACTGTGCTGCTCTCAGGACGTTTGAAATGTTGCAAAATTTAAAGAAGAAAATGCAAACTAGTCTTGTTTCCATGAACTGCTTTGGAGTGAATGAAGTCGGCTGGCGTCAGAAGCTGCTGCTGCTACGTCACACAACAGTAGAAGAAGCTGGAAACAAAACCAGTTGTTTACCAGCTGCTAAAAAAAACTAGAACGGGAAGAAGGAACGGACGAAATCTCAGCTAGCTACAACAGAAATGTAAAAAAAAAAACCCAAAAAACAAAAAACGTCTTAAACCATGTAGAAGCCGATAACGTAATAAATTTGCCATTTTTTAAATGTAATAGACCAATAACGTAATAAAAGTCCTGAACTGATAATGTAATAACTTTTGGCCAATGACGTAAAAATTTATTACGTTATTGGCTGGTTACTACATTTGCAAAGTTTTTTTTTTTACCAGGTCAATAACGTACAACTTATTACGTTATTGGCCAAAAGATATTACATTAGAGGTTCAGGACTTTCATTACGTTATTGGACAGTTATTATGTTATTGGCCTACTACATTTTAAAAAGCGCGAATTTATTACGTTATCAGCCGTTGTTACATTATTGGCTTCTACAAACCATTGCTTTCCACTGGTAAAGTTGCAATGATCCTTTCACATCAGCTGGTATTGGCCAAGTTTCATACTATCCGGGGACGAACACAACGGAAGAAACAGAAATAGCTGATCAGTCATTTAAGTAAAAGCTTTGTTATGTCAGAACCAGCCATTATGGGCGTTATCTCTCTTTGTAAGAAGTCAAAGTGAACTCTCCGTAACCATTTCCATTCATTGTTTCTAATGCAATACTTCAATATTTGCAAAGAAATAAGTTATGGAAACGTGGCTGCTGTGTTGTCACCCACTGGTTTGTTTGTGGACTGCCATTTTGAAACCTTGAATCTGGATTTGGACCATTGCTATCTTGGTCTTTTGAAACAAGCAAGTGGAGCTTACAGAGAATTCAAGGACACTACGCACACCGATACGGTAGCCACTTATTTATCACAAGACGTCCCGCTTTATTGTCTAATTCACTCTAAATGGGACCACAATATACCCAACGAACATCATGCTGTGTTAAAGGAGACTTTAAACTAACAATTGAGACCATAACTTCATTAGGAAAATGTTTACCGAGGTAATAGATCACATGAGAAGTGGGGTCATTCCTCACAGACTTTTTTTTTTTGTAACCAGAGTAGTCGTCCCCCTGCTGGCCACTCGAAAAAATGCAAGCCAAAGTCACTTCCGTGTTGGTTTCACTTTTCAGACCCCACGGCCAACTTTACATACGCTGTGTGTTCCAGTATCCATACTACCCTACAACACAGCTTGCCACCTAAAGACTCCCAATACAGTGCATGTCAAAAACCAGGATGTCCTCCCACATCCAGTCTCATTTCCAAGCCCACAATCCTGTGTGCAGCTGAAGGTACGTCACATGTCACGGTGTCTGGCTGGAGAAACAAGCCTGACCAGCTGAGAGCGCATTGAAAATATACGGAACAGAGAAATGTTTGTCAAGACCAAAAAAACAAAAAAAAGGGAAAATGAACTGAGAAACTGATTGAAGCTAAACGGACAAACTAGCAAAACCTTGAAATAAACAACAATATTTATTGATGTATTTAGTCTTATTTCTGACTCACCTGATCACCTTTTACTACATTTTGTTGGTTTCAGGGCTCCATAAGGAACATGAATCATCACTTAAATTAAAAACATATAAATCTGGCAATGTTTCCACAACGTGGGGCAACAAAAGTCATAAAACGAGCCTGAATTGTCTTGCAGTATCTATATATACCATTTACAGTATGTAACACGTAAAAAAAAAAAATGGCCCTTTTCCGCAGTGCGAAACAAGAAAACGGACAAACCTTAAGTGGCGTCTCCCATTTAAATCTTAATACTTCACCTTCCTCTTGATTTGTCATAGAAACACGGAATCAGACATGTTTACCGCCCCCCATCACGTACAGTAAAAACTGATCCAATATAAATATTCTAACATCATTCTGTTTTTGTTTTCTTTTTCTTCTTCTTTACAATATGACCTCAGTCTACAGATTTCGCTGTATTTACACTGTACAAAGACAATTTAGCAAAAATTTATACAATCTATCGTTTTGTAAGCAGTGTTTCCATCGTCGCTTAATGCTTCTTTTTCATTCATTCATCCGGGTCCTCTCCAGACCAACAGAAACAGCTCTGAGGAATCATGCTTTAAGTGGCTTCTAAATGTCAATATTTCCATTTGTGCTGTTTTTTTTTTTCTCTATAAGCTGGAAGAACCATATAAAATGTTAAAGAAAAAACAAAATACTTCAGAGTTATTTGTTCTATTCCTCCAGTAGAAAGGGGGAGAAGTGTTAAACTAGCTTATTACAGGCACCACAGGTCAGGACGATGGCAGTGAACAAAGTACAACGTAAGCTCTACAGTATGTCTCGTATTTGTCTCTCTTCTCCCAAAAGTGTGCACGCTCCGTCGTTATTAATCGCGACGACAACAAAGCGATGCGTGAATATTGCTTTGTGTGAGTGGCGGCTGATGGCCTGGCTGTAAAGAGATCATTATTCTGCAGCTGTGAGTTTAGATTTTTAAAAATCCCATTTCCTGTCAAAGTGCCTTTGAGCTAAAAAAAAAAAAAACAAGACATGCTTTTAAATTGTCAGTTCTCTGGAGAACCTCGATTAAATGGCCACAGTGTAAATGAAGACTCAGCGGATTCTTTTTTTTGTTTGATGATATGTCGTCCGGTTGGATGTACGAGCTGCTACCCTCAAGGTAACAATGGAATGTACACGTCTCTCCTTTTGTTTTGAAGCAGCTGGTGTCGCTGGATGGGAATGCAAACGAACAGACGGACGCAGACGAAACAAAAAAAAAAAAAAAAATAGAGAAATTGAGCATTTAAAATTTGCAGTGTGCCTATAAGCTGTCAAAAGATCATCTCATGCTTCAGCTAAGGAACCGACTGAACCAGGAGATTAAAATGAAAGGAATGTACGCGGCCTCGTCTCAATCAGCCGCTCGAGACAGTTGAGCTTCGGAGGGAATTATGGAACGCTGCGGTTATGTATTTTGCTCTTTAAGCTTGTTCCTATTTTTCCATTTCCCAACTTCACACAGTCTTTCAGTCTCTGCATTTCCAATTGGCCGCTTTTCCCTTCGCAGATAAGGTCTTCGTTCCGACAACTTTCGCTCCCACGCTTCAGTTTGGTTCAGCTCAGCTCCGTTTGGTTCAGTGCAGGCAGCCAGTGGGACTTCTTTTATGTACAACAACCAGAGAGGGTGCAATCACACTTGCAAAAGTGCTAGATTGTGTGAATGTGTGTGTGTGTGTGTATATGTGTGTATATTCCAGACAGACCCACTGATCCACAGGACTGCTGCCCACCTGGTTTGCCTGCTTACCAGGCAGAAATATGCTTTACAGGTCTATCTATTCCTCTGCAGGCGACCAGTGTTAGGAAATGATGGCCGGACACCACCGCACCACCGTCAGGTTGTCTGCGCTCACCGACCGCTTCTTGGCTAGTTTTTTCAAGTCCTTGTACTTGTCGTCGCACAACCGAGAGATGGCCTGAAAGTTGAAGCACAGATGAAGTGGAGATTAGCAGGACCACCCTTTGTTTTGGTTAAAGTGATTGAATGAGATCTTTGTCTGTGTTTTTGTACAATAAATGAGTTTGTGGTGCAATCAGAAAGTTCCCCAGAGTGGTTGTGTTGTGCATGCACTTCACAGTCAGGATCGTACAGATGTGGCAAAAAAAATACATTAAAAAAGAAGAAAACATCAAATTCTAAATCAGTCTGCAGCTGGGATGAGTCAGGCTTCATGTTGCTGGTGATGAAGGTGAGTCTGGGGCTACGACTAGGAGAACAAACAGTAGCTCTCACAGTAGAAGAGCCTCCAAGACCAGAGGAGGCGTCTCAGGTCAGGAGCACACCAGGAGCATGCTTCTCATTTTCCTCAATATGCAGGAATTAATCCCGCAAGGATTCACTGTCAAGGCTTTAGTTGGTTGAGGAAAAAAAATTGGCACATATAACCTGAACAGTGGCACAATGACATGCTCCTACTGTACTGTGCACCCGATCACAGCACTGTGATTGTGAACAGGTTTTTTGTCAACCCTCTCCAATGACCTACTCACTAGATTTGGTATCTTTAGTCTTCTTCATCTTCCCAAAAATGAAACTTAAGTTGAGGAGATTCAGCGCTCATCACAGATTATAGAGCAGATTCTGTTCCTGATTTTATAGACACAGTCTCAGAATTTCTTGATCACACCTCTTTGTGTAGTGATTACACTACAAGTCTGTGATGGGCTGTGTTTACACAACAAGCATGTTTGGAGCCATTTATCTAAGCTCTGCTTAGTGCGGTTAGGGTGGGCAAGTGAGAGTAATAGTGTGAACTCTGAAGTGTCAATTTCTGTTGTGTTCTCAATATATCTCAACAACAATGAAATAGCAGCTAAACACTGGAAAGATTTCCAAAAAGGAAAGTTTACTCAGTTGACAAGAGTCCAGTCATCTAAAAGTTGGATAACAAGCTAAAAAATCTCAGCAGTTTGGCTGAAAAATCATTTATTTTAACTTCATCCTGTCTTAAACGAACACTGGTTTCAGTTGTTTGATATTCAGAGAGGTCCAGCCACATTTGTTCTTGCTAATCTTTGGTTATTTTGAGACAACAACGACTTTTCTGTATCGTCAGTGACTAGTATTAATGTGGGAAATAACTGCACCATCCATCCATTCATCCATTATCTATACACCGTTTAATCCTCATTAGGGTCATGGGGGGCTGGAGTCTATCCCAGCTGACTCAGGGCAGGTAACCAGTCTATCACAGGGTTACACTTAGAGACAGACAACCAAGCACACTCACATTCACACCTACGGACAATTTAGAATCACCAATTAACCTCAACATGTTTTGGACTGTGTGGGAGGAAGAACCCGGAGAGAACCCACGCTGCACGGGGAGAACATGCAAAGCAGAAAGATCCTGGGTGTCCTCACCGGGACGCGAACCGGCGACCTTCTTGCTGCGAGGCAATGGTGCTAACCACCGAGCCACCTTGCAGCCCCACAATTTCCCCAATAAATAAATGAAATATGTCCACTCTTCTACTGAGGACAGACCCCCCTCACTTTGATCTCTTTTTAAAACTTTAAAACTAAACAGACTGCAGACACTATTAATGTCTTTAATCACCGCTGTGCTCTTCCTGCTACTAAATGTCAAAATGTCAGCTGTGATAGAAGCCTGTATTGGTCAAACAGATCTTAAGGACAGAAAAACAAATTAGACAAGGACAGCGGTGATATTTCAAAAGCTAACTACAGCAAGGCTGCAGGGCAGGAAGGACGAGACAGATGTTGAGGCAGTGAAGCTAATTATGCAGCAACACAGCTCCTCGTCTTGTCCTTCACCCGGCGGAGGATCTGCATTCTGTGTTCTGTGCACATGTGTGGAGCTGAGGCTCTTTAAAAATACTCAAACGACCTCGGTCCATCGTCTTTCATATCCTCAGGCCACAATAAGTTGCTTTCAGACGTTTTTTTTTCTCAGATATTTGTCAGCATAAAGGAACTCCAAAATCTCAAGGTATCCCCAGTATTCATGTTCACTCCTCACCTCTAGTTTCTGGGCTTTCTCCCTGCTGAGGGGTTCCAGGGGGAAGCTGAGGTTGTTGGCCTCGGCCAGGGAGCGCAGGTCAAAGTAATACTTGGCGTAGACGCTGGACGGCACGTTGATGTTGAACTGCAGCAGCTCCAGGAACTGACGCTCCAGCTCATTCCTTTAACAGAGACAGAGGTAGAGATGTGAGCCTTTTGATGAGCTTGAAACAACAGTTTAGGAGTCCAATAAAGTCAGCTAGACCATTTAAAGTCTTTCAATCCTGCATAGAGTGAGCAAAGAGGAGACAGAGAAGACTAGAGAGAAAGCGTTCGTCCACAGCAGACCTTCCTCCAAGCAAAATCCAGACACACAACGAACCGACACACATGCAGCGAGTAAATCCCCAGTACGCCCACCACACATAAGCCTTTCCTCATAATGAAAGGGAATGCTATCTAAGCAGGGAGCTCTGAGCATTATGTGTAAGAAAGAATATTAATCCCACATCCTGAAAATGCTATTGTCATGCATTGCTTCGTGCTCGACAGCTCTGTGATCCCTCCCGGTGACTGCTGCTTTCATCTGTTTCTCTTCAGTCATGACCGATTCATTTTGCATTGTAACTATCCGTCGCTTCTTCTCCCCAAGCCTTTGTTCCTCGCCCACGCACATTTACAGGCATGCAGCAACAGACGAGCTAAATTTAGAGCCCACTGTAGCCAAACTCTGCCTAATAACGCTGCTGCTTTTTTATCTCGCCGTGGCACTCATTCAGCTATTCCTTGCGTTCCGCTGCTCCTCCATCCCAGCCAGACATCCCTGCTGTTATTTTACAGTCACTAGGCAGAAAGGGGAATTCAGTAGGCGATTTTTTCCAGAGCAGGGATACGGTCAAACACTGAGCCGGTAAATTGCCATATGGGAGCCCAGCAGAAGCACGTGTTGAGCTCCGCCGACCGGAGAGAGTCCTAAACAGGTGGACCACAGACATCGCTGTGTGAATCCGAGCCCAGGGACCAGAATAGACAGCCACCCGTGCAGAGCAGCGTGAAAGCAGCGGGGGTCAGAGGTGCAGGAGAGGCAACACGTCTGCAGCATCGTGTTCCTCCTCGGGATAAGCTGGCCAAGATTCCTGTGGGTTTGAGACGGATGTGGTATATAGGGCAGAGCGGCGTGTCCTCGTGCTCTAGATGCTTCTTCTCTGTCTTCCAGGGAGGTCAAGTCATAACGCACAGCAGTGTCAAATTGAATTTTTTTCTATTTCATCTAAGGTCATACCCTCAAAACTAAATCCAATATATTGTTTCAGAAGTTTCCTTTGCCTCAGTGTTAAATGAAAAACTGCATTTGTCATTGTCAGCTCGTTAGGAACTAATAAACCAGCGTTGTTCGAAGAGGGCGATGACATGATAGCACGCGGACTATAACCGTTTATTCTCAGGGAAGTGATGCAAGAGATGTGAGCGTTGATATGCACCCGTCTTTATCGCGAACATCTTCATCTCTAATAGAGGATAGTCAGTACCTCATTAGAGCTGATACCTTTGATGCTGTTCCCTGGCTGGAGTCTGTCGGATCCAATCCAAGCTGGACGACAGCAGCAGCGTAACAAAGTGAGCAGAGGTCACCCTGAGCATGCCCAGACCACCACGCACGTGACTCTCAACACTTCTTAAAGCCTGACTGTTGGTCACTAAATGGGGTGATGGCAGATACAGTAGCAAAGAAGACGTGTTAATAACAGTCTGCCCGTGAAGACGTGACGTATCCACCTTCTGATGAGGTTGTTTCCGAGCACAAGCCGGCTGTCTGCTGCGACGGCAGAGGCTCTTGTCTGTCCAACATGCTGCAGCGCTGCGGCCCATGTTGTTTAAAGATCTGAACTTCTGGAATCAGACTTTAATCTACTTCAAGGCCCGGATGACGGGGACCTGAATGTGGCCATGCTGCTGCCTCACACTGCATTTCGATCAGTGTATTTATTTGTCATTATTGGGCAGTTTAAATGAAGCACTACACATTGACTATTTGTTTAGTTAGACAGTTTCTCTCGTTATTTTGTCATGAGAATATTTTTCTAAGTAACATCCACAGCCATCTCACGGCCCTCCCTGGCAGCTCTCTGTGGACACCTAGTGGGCCGTGGCCCGCTTGTTGAGAACCACTGGCGCCGTCAACACACATTTTAAGTGAAGGGTCTGTGTGCCCGCTTACAAACTTCGGCAGATGATATTTACGTGGACTCTAGTGGACCCACGTGTAAACCTATCACATCTAGAAGACACTGCCAGTGCTGTTACCCTAAACATACTTCTTTAACGAGCCAGATGATTATATGTTAACGAGCCTACCTTCTACCTTCACTCACCCTGGCTGGTACATATTTAGTTTTTTGTCTTTATTGATGTCAAAGTTCTAGCAGTCCTGGATATTTTAGCTTTCTTTATTCAGAGCTTCCTAATCCAGAACATAGCGTATCATGTTTAGATGTCAGCTTTTACCTAGCAGCCTACTGCTAACTCACTTCAACCCATAAACTGTATATAAAGATGAACTCTGTTATGTCAATGACAGCACTCATTTGCCATGACTTTGATGATGTAAACTTCTAAGCCTAATATAATTAAAGCGGTGAGTTATATAAAGCCCAGTGGTCATGAACGGGGAATTTATCTACAGAGAGCAAAATCTTTTTTTTGCATCAAGCTGTGTGTATTTTTGCTGTTACAGCATTTTAACATTAGAGTCTATGGAGATTGACTCACTTTTGCAGCCAGCCTCAAGTGGCCATTTGAAGAACTGCAGTTTCTGGCACAAGGACCCAACTACCCAGAACACAGAACCCAGGACCTTCTAGGTATGACAGGACAGTGCTGACCACTTAACACTTCAAGCTTTGGTCTGCTGGTCAGACGAAACGAGGACACTGCAACTTTAGGGAACGTTGAGGGCATCTGTGACCACTATTTTTTTTTCATTTTCAGACCACAGTCACTTATTTATTCGAGACTATAAGCTGCAGGATGAATGATATTCAAAATAACTGTTAGTTCCAGAAATGTGAAGTGGCCAAACCATGACTAAAACCTAATGAGTGAACGCCATCAGGCAGAAAAAATCCATGTCGGTTTGATGACAAAGATGCTTTCATTCAGCAGACACCTTGCAGGTTGTTTGTATGCAAAGCTCACTGTGCCTCCTTGTCTCTAAATGAATGTTTTACACTGAACAGTCTTAGACAGTATGGTACAGTATGGTCTCCTGTGCTACTGCTACATATTAAAGCCATCATACGGTATATTCGGTCATGTGATTCTGCACCTCCCACTCAAGGACACGGGTTTGCTTTCGAGAGAAGCTGTTGAGGTGGAACCAGTCCAGACTTCTCTCTGTCATAAGATCATGGCTGTGCTGTGGTGCAGTAGCTTCCAGTGAAAAAAAAACAAAGGGAAATTACTGCTCATTTCAGTTTCTTCATCATCAGCTGATAATAAATTTCATCCAATTTGCAGCGATTCACCTGCTGAGCTGCTGTATTCTGGCTGTTTTCAAAAGTCTGTCTGCTGATGAGATGTTTTCTTAAGCTTGATAGTAATATTACTGGAAGGAAATGCTCTGTGTGTTTTTTTTAAATGTGTGTTAACGGCTTTTTCTACCCGGAGAATTACTGCCTCTTACACATAAACTGAATCAGATAACTGTGACGTGAATATATCAGCTGTAGCCAATTTACAGTGTTTTTATTTTCTCTTTAAATGATGCAATGAAAATGAAACGCTAGGGAATAAAAAGTTGGCCATGAAAACTAAATAATGACTAACTGTGAGTCAAACTAGATTGACAGTCTAGAAATAACATCAGATATCTTCTGCTACGAAAACAAGACATGACTGACCTCCGTTTGTAGGTCGGCCTTTTGTGAGCACATTTCATTTCATTTTCTTTTATCAATGAACTGCAACGTTTCTAGGTTTGTTTCCAGGGACTCACATGTCCTCCACAGTGATATCCTTGAGAATTTGGCAGTAGTCGACGTTCCACACCGCCTGGTCGTCCCAGACCTTAGAAGCGAGGAGGATGGCTCCCAGCACGATACGCTTCCAGTTGGCCGGGCAGATATCGATCTCAGCGTAGGTCAGGAGCCTCTCCAAATACACCTGAGTCAAAGAAACGTGTCACGAATAAGTGGCTCAGAAAAACATTCTCCTCTTTGAATGCATAAACACAATTCAGGAATCTTTAAAGTGTGTCTTTGTTCCCACAGCTTAAACGCAGAATTAGAAATACAGTTGTGACTCGATAATCCGACCCTGAGCAATCCTAAACCTTGCTATCCGAGAGGTTTATAGGAAAAACGAACGGAACAAATAAAAAACAGCCTTAACATACCGACAGCCTTGGATTCCGACTCCAACATGACATTTTATATCACAAATAAGGATAACGGCGTATTATCTGACTGAACAATCACACAGATTGGCTACGTTCAGACTGCAGGACTTGATGCTCAATTTGGATTTTTTGTGAAATCCGATTTTTTTGTTCGCATTTCCAATTAAATGCGACTTGTATGTGATCTGCTGTGTGAACTTCATACGACCCAAAAGTGTCCCGCATGCACAGAAGAGGACATGACGACCTCACACGCAGCGAGCGTGCTCAGTGGAAGTAAACACGGATGGTAACGATGGATTGTGGAAGCAGAAGCGTGACCGCTAACTAAACTAGCATCAGCAGCCAAGTACTGCCTGTGTGTTCCGGACACTTCCACCCCGTTGGAGCGCTCCTCCAGGGTGGAAGTGTCCCCCGACTGCGACGAATATTCAGATATTAATCATTAATCGGATCTGTGTTGTTCAGACTGTCATTAAAAGACCAGCTACAGGCCGCATAGGGGCAAAAAAAAAAATCAGATTTGGGTCACTTCAGCCTGCTGTCTGAACGTATTTACCTTTAATGTCAACCGACGGGCCCGTGAACAATCACACCAGTCAATTAACAACAAATGAGCCTTCCAGCATCAAGCCCTCCTTGTATCTCGACCTCCGTCTTGACAATCCGACATAAAAGAAGGTTTTACATTATGGGTCGGATTATCGAGTCACGACTGTACAATAAAAACATATGATTGGCCAAACTAACTCGTGATTTTCACTCATTCCACTCAAATGTCCAACAACCAGGGTCTGAAGGATGAAATCAGTCCTCTTGTCTTTTCCTTCAGCTGTGATTACTAAACTAGGAGGCTCTGATGTTTTTACTTTATGCAAATTTCACATTTCAGCACAACACACAAAAGAAAAGCAAGTAAATGACACAATTAAAATCACATCAGTTGTTACATCAGGTTTTTTTCCTGAGCTTAATTACCCTCTGCTGTCCTGCCTTCACTCATTTGAAGAGTTACTTTGCTGCTTTATTGTTTTCAGTCTCCTGCCTACTCCTCCTCCTCCAAGATGTCAGAGGCTGATGAAATCCAGCTTCCCTGGAGCTCCCTCATAAAATATCCATGCCAATCGAATCCCTTCCGTCTCTCTCCTTCCATTTCTCTCTGTCTCTCAGTAGCCAGAATTCCCACAGTCTGAACAACCCGCAGGCACCTGATCCTTACAAGCTGGAATATTTGTACAAAAGATGACTCTTTAGATCCACTAATCATTTTGGTACAATCTCAGACAGAAGCTATTCTGTTTGATGTTATAGTTTGAAGCCTGGGAGCTGCAGTGATGCACTGTATGGAGAAAAACTAAAGATTTTGCTGGTGGAACTTACAGAGTGCTTCACAGATTTGTCACTGAAGCTCATATCCTAAAATATGACAATGCATTTCTTCCCTAAAGTACAGGCACATTGTGTTATAAGTGCAAAAGCATACATTTTCTTCTTCTTTTTTTAGTTTTAACTTTCTTGTGTGTATTGTATGTTGACTTTTAAATTGGTTTTCAGCACTAACAGTGTGTGGCATTTTTATTTTTGTGATTTTAACACATATTCCAGTGCATTTCAGTCCATTTTAACTTTTGTATTTGTTGGTAATTGCTGTACTTTAGGTATTACGCCAAACTTTCCGAAAATGAAATTTACAAAAGCTTGAAACAGAGATGCTCTTATTGGCTGTCATGGTTCTCTTGACTCGCTCGGGAACACATTTTTCAGTTTCCATAAATAATATTTATTGCAGACTCAACCGAATTCAGAAAAGTTAGAGCAGCTGAAAACTTTAGAATGTGTCATCTTTCGGATGACAAGTGTGACTCTGCAGAGATGCTGTATTTTTTATGGCAGACTGGAATATACTGTGCGTTCCACTTATTTTAATTCTGTCTGCTCAGTGGCAGAGCTGTCAGCATAATGTGCCCTCAAGACCTGAACAGAACACTGCTAGACAGCAGATGGTCATCTGCTCGAGGTCTGCTTCCATCTACTTAACAAATAATGGTATTTTTATTGTTGTGAAGTTAACTTTACTGATCATTGACTATTATTATTTGTACAATGGCAACCTAGCACTGACAACGGAGAGGCAAGGAGAAGGATATGAGGTCGTGAAAAGGAAATGAAAACATTCTTTCATCCCATTTTGCAGCTGGGCTTGACTTGCCCACTAGAACAGCTCAGGTGGCTAATTGGTCATGTCATGCTGGGCTGGGCTTTGTGCCTGCAGGCGATGCTAGCTTATCTCTGTTGTGGCTCAGATCTGGCAGCAGGCAGCAAACACTGAAGAAAGCCCGCATGAAATAAGAGCCAGACCCCATGCTGGCACGCTCACTACACAAACAAGCCCAACACAGAATGTAGAGGCAGTGCTTGGCAGACAGTCGCCCTGTTCAACCAGAATGAACCCAGATGATTACATTTCGTGACTCCCAGGATCATGTCACACATCGGATCGGTGTCTGACAGAACAACCAGCCTCTTCCTTTTTTTAAAAAACTAACTATTAAGACATGTTTCTTGATGTTAAACCTTTATGATGTGTTTTTTGCTGGGAGGGTTTTGATTAGGGGTGTCCAATCCTGGTCCTGGAGGGCCACAATCCTGCATGCTTTAGATGTTTCCCTCTTCCAACACACCTGATTCAAATGATCAGGATTGTTATCAGGCTTCTGCAGAGCTTGATGATGAGCTGATCATTTGAATCAGGTGTGTTGGAAGAGAGAAACATCTAAAACTTGCAGGATTGCGGCCCTCGAGGACCGGAGTTCGAGACCCCTGTTTTAGACGTTTCTCTCTTCCAACACACCTGATTCAAATCATCAGCTCATCATCAAGCTCTGCAGAAGCCTCATTTGAATCAGGTGTGTTGGAAGAGGGAAACATCTAAAACATGCAGGACTGTGGCCCTCCAGGACCAGGATTGGACACCCCTGGTTTAGATAAATGAGGGTCAGAATAATAGCACACAGTAACTCTTTTTCTCTGCTCTTCACCTTCAGTCTAAGGCCAATCCAGGAGTATCCAGGGTCTGAGTGACGCACCGGTGACTCACCGTCGCCACCTGAAACCTGCTTCTGTAACGGCAGGATCTGACCTGTGGAGCTGCAGCTTAATCTCTTACAATACGCTGCCTGTGGATGTAATGTTCTTGGTTTCTGTCTGCTGGAAATATTGAGGAATGATTTGCTTTCACAAAAGAACACTGACTGGGTTTCTTTTCTTTCCATCCGCTAAAGAAACCTTCACTTTCCTCCTCTATGATGTAACGACTGCGGAGGGAAGGAAGATGCCCAGCTTCCATCTTAACTGTCTAAAGTTAGCTGCGTCAGCCCAACTAACCACCAGCCGACAGCCCTATTCAATTACTGATGGCGTGCCAGACTTTACCCTGGGGGACTGGAGGAGGCGGCCCATATGCCAGGCTGTGCTCTGTGGGTGATGAAGTTTTAGACGATTTTTGTAAAAGACCTGGACATGGACAAAGTTAGACAACTCTTACGTCAGCATCCGTGGCCAAGAACAACACATAGTGCTCCTCAAATATTAAAGAGAAGGTCCTAAAATGCAACTCCTCCTCTGGTATGTTGTCATTCCTGCTAATTACATTTTAACGTCACCTGTAAATTACACAAGTCTGGTTTGATTAATTAGGAATTCTCTCTTTTTCTTTTTGATTGTTTTATGTTCTCTTCTGGCCCTCATCAGCCAGATGAAGTTTATCTTTACAAAAATCTAATTACGCGACAAGAAAAAAGAAGCCGTGAAAATAGAATTGGTGGATTTTAAATGGTCCGTCAGTCCTTTAATTAATCAGGCAGTTCAGTCAAGAAAATTATTCAAATCTAAGCTTAAAATCGTCTTAAAAATCACTTTGCTCTACATGGGGAATGCTAAAGTTTGCCATCAACTAGCAGTCTGCACCAAACAGATCAAGAAATAAATACAAAAAGAAATTACACTTCTTTGTTGTTTTTTTTTTACACGATTTATATTCTAACTATATCATATTACACAGAATAAATGTTTGAGTTCCTTCTATTTCTCGCCATTCTTGTGCTGCTTCCAGGACTTCACATTGTACTGAAAAATGATACCAGATTGAGCATCAATGAGAGAGAAGGAAAACCCACCCAGAAACTATTTGGCATGTAGAGGGTTAATGTTACGTCTGGTAGGATATGGGTTTAAATGTCAAAACAAAATAAAAGGCGGACAGCGAGACCGTCACTGATACAGTATGTGGGTGTAATTGCTTTCCAGTAATTTTCTGGACAACAGGACGCACCCATGCCAACACACACAGTCGACACATTTATTCATCTGTCACGAAGCGGAGCAACTTAATACTCGGCCACCAGGAAAGATATATTAACCGTGCACTTTCCTGGACTCCGGGGACGCATGTGTCGGCCGGAGTGACAACGTGTGGAAGGAAATGTTTCTGGGCAGACGAGTGGGGACGGAGAGGGAGTTCATTTCCAACCGAACGTGGCGGAAACAAGTTAGTAAAATATAGATGAAAAAAACAACTCTGTGCTGTACTGGTTTATAGCAAAACAAACACTAATGCAAAACTACATAAAGGATTAAAACTTGGCATAATTTGATAATTGTGTAATTAAATAGATAAACTATTAAACGGTTTAAGGCTTTATGAAGGGAAAAAAAGCAACAGAGACTGAGTGGAGAAGAGAGAGAGAGAGATGTGATGCACAGGTGAGCAACACAAGATGTCATTAGTCATGGAGAGAAAACCTAATGCACAGTAAAGCATCAATTATATTCTAATTATATTCTCGCTACAGGCGCAGATATACTTCACACCAAAGTAATTCTGAAAGGAAATTGCACAGATCAAACTAATATTGCCACAGATCCTCTGTTATCTTCCAATTTTCTGCTCTCTCCTGTGAAAATTAGTTCACTTTCCAACATTTTTTTGGGCACATTTGCCCGAGGGTTCTACTGAGCGTTTTATAAGATTTAGGAGGAGGAACTGAAGTCCAAAAATAAAAGACAGAATAATCTAAGGAAGGCAGGGGTAAGAAGGCAGCACATGACAGCTGAGAAGGCAGAAAAAAAAAAAGAGAAGCGGGAAGCAACACTCCCTCCTAGTGTCAGTACTGAAACACACACACACATATACAAGCACACACACACACACTCACCAAAGTGACGATGGCGCACTCAGCAGTGAGCTGTGCAGCACTGAACAGCGTCCTGACGAAGCGGTAGATCTGCTTCTGCTCAGGGTCGTGTTTGTCGTAATCAGCAGGAACCTCAGACTTCTACAAACGAAGACCAGACGGCAACAGATGGGATTAAATACTGTTAATAAAAACCCCCATTTGATGTGAATGGTCTTAAAAATGGAAACACAAGCTGCTGAGTGAAACCTCTCCTTAGATATGCGTCTTATTTCTGAACATGCGCTCTGTTCCTTTTGGATGAGGAGCGTCAGGCAAAGCGGCTGTGTACATCTTCAGCCTGAAACTCTCCCAAGTGTCGAGCAAATACATTAAACTGAAGCTACATCTGAATAATCCAGATGGCTCTTGAGATTACAGAACAGATTTCTTCGCTATTTGACGCATGTGAGCTTATTTGCGGTTCATCAGCGTGTGTGGCCTGTCTGGCTGATGAATCCTGACAGCTCCCATATCTGGTCCATAATGAAAACGTATCGTCAGCTGAGGCCTTACTGAGAGTGGATGCAGCTTCTCGTCGAAAATGTCTAACAACATTCTTCCGTCGACATCTCTGGAATGAAAGGGAGACGGGAAAAATATCAGAGAGTGATTGAAATTTTAAAAAAAACAACAGATGGCATGAGTCCATTTAAAATATGCCTGTCTGATAAGCCATTTATGGGCATTTATTTGCAGTGCAGACAGTGAATATGAACCAGAGAACACTGGGCCTGGTGCAATAACATCTTTATTCTCTGTGAGGTTTGCTTGTACAAGCGTTCCAGCTTCCAATCTGTCCTGGACAGACTTGTTGCAAACTGGAACGTCATGAGGAGGTACGTGTTTGAGATCCGATCATTAGCATAATATGCTAATTCTACATTCTGCTTTGTTTGTGGACGAGTTTGATTCACAAAAATGTTGGCAAGAAAGAACTCGGGCTGGAGGAAGTTGTGCTGCTGTTGCTGCAGTTGGCTTTGTGCTTGTAATATTTCTATTTTCTACTTTTTTTCTCCAGGGGGGCTGGAGGAAGGAAGGCCATGTGCCAGGCTGTGCTCTGTGTGCACCGAAGTTTTAGACGATGACGAGACCGAGGCATGGACAAAGTTAGAAAACTCCTAACTGCTGCAGTCAACATCTGTGGCCAAGTACAATATGCAGTGCTCCTCGTACATTAAAGAGAAGGCCTGAAATGCAGCCCTTCACTCGGTATCATCCCAATCTGCTGCTGCTGCTGCTGCTGCGCATGACTGGGATTTGCAACAAAAAACACTTAAACTGGATAAATTCATCTCAATCGCTGTGTGTAGGGGTTTAACTTGTAGAGTTTTTAATGTCACCTGTAAATTATACACGTCTGCTCAATCAATCAATAGCTGTTCTCTTTATGTTATTATTATTGTTTTATGTTTTGCTCCCTTGCTCTCTTCTTCTTTTCTCTGTGACGAGTGGCTTCTGGCCCTCCTCGGCCAAACAAATGTTACCTTTAAAAAACATCAAATGATACTCTAATAATAATAATAATACTCTGAAAATCCACTTATTCTATTTTATACAGCTGCTTTTGATCAAAGCCACCTGGCCTCCTACCCCTGGATTGGACACACTGAAAACCACCTAAGACCCAGAGACTGACTCATCAGTGGACACGCTACCTGTTGTGTTTTGATATATAACCGCTCCTTGCATTGCACTATTATCAAAAGAAGCTGTATAAAATGGAATTAGTGGATGTTTTTGTTCCCCAGAACTAGAAACAACCAGGGCTAGGGGATGTTTTTGTTGCTGCGGTCTGCTTGTAACATTTCTATTACACAGGCTTATGTTTTTCTCTGTGATGTAGCCCAGTGTCAACAGTCTTAACCTTCCTATAAAATGCTCACAAGTTATTTTCTGAGTCAAACAAGTGTTTTTTTCCCTCCGCGGACAAAGGCAGACTGTTTGTGCGTGACTCATGCAGCAGGTTCAGACCGCTCGTGAGTTTCTTTTTACTTCCTCACAGAGGGATGTCTGGTTCATTCAGGCTTTACGTGGTTATCGAACAGAAAGCCACGGAGCTGAAAATTCAACACAAACCCTCTGGGCCAAACGGAGTACTTTCTGTCCAGGTTTATCTTTGTCTGTGAACATCTCATGCTGATATTTGACTCAAGACTGTTGCGTGTGCATAGGGAAAAGAATAAAACACGTATCGTACCTGTTCTTTATGTGGTAGTATATTGCAAGGGCTACGCTGTAAAGACAAAACAGGCACATGAACGACCATTTCAAATGAAAAATTTGCATGAAAGGATTTGACACAGTGAGACAGGTTACCATTTAATGGTGTATTTGAGGTTGGGCTGACTGACAGTGCTGTCATCGAGGAATATGGTGGAACACGAGCTGTACTTCCGTCTCACTGGGCCTGGATGATGCTGGAGTTCATACATACAAATAAACAGACACATGCAGGTCAGTCTCTATTTGTGTCAAAGGGCTGCTACCAGCTATAGAAAGTGGGGCACCTGTAAACCCACAAACTAATTCTGTCTGTGCTCTGTCAGCGCCTGACATGGTTGCATGCGGGAATGGCATTTATGATGGAGTGCATCTTTGGAGAGGTATCAAACTCTCATTCAGCCACGAACTTCCTTTTCATCGGCTTTTTCTCCTGGCGCGGACCGATCCAGTGCCACGTCATTATTTAGACGTGCAATGGTTTTCTCATTGAAGACTCAAAATGTTAAGATACAATTCTGCCTCACGGGAATTTACCAATTGCAATCCATCCATCCATTATCTGTACACCGCTTAATCCTCACTAGGGTCGACAACCAAGCACACTCACATTCACACCTACTGACAATTTAGAATCACCAATTAACCTCAACATGTTTTTGGACCTTGTGGGAGGAAGCCGGAGAACCTGGAGAGAACCCACGCTGCACGGGGAGAACATGCAAACTCCACGCAGAAAGATTCCGGTGTCCTCACCGGGAACGCGAACCGGCAACCTCCTTGCTGCGAGGCAACAGTGCTACCAACTGCGCCACCGTGCAGCCAATTGCAATAGTTTGTTTAAAATAAAGGCACATTGCAAAATTTCCTCAGCTCCTTCTCTTGGGTCCTAAGGATTTAGAGACAAAGATGAACTGCACCATGATGTGATGGAATTGCTTCTTCTACAGTTGTGCTACATCTAAACTACTTCTAAAAATGAGTTTATCTGAAACACTAAGTGGAATCTGTGGAGCTTGATAAATGGAGGGGCAATGATTAAAGGTTCAAGAGTCGTTCAGAAGACTTTACCTTGTTTTCCGAAATGTGGGTAAACTTGCAAAAAATACAAGACAGTAAAATTACTATTTGCACAGTGAGAAATGCATCACACAGCCAGAGTAACACAATCAAATGTCTGGTACTGTACTTACATGGTTGATGTAAAGGCTCTTCCGTTTTTCTCGGACTACAAAAAAAAAAAGGAAAGATAAGAGAACAGGTGTTACTTCCAGCTCAGCATGGGTGCAGTACCCAACCCTCACAGACAGGGAGCAGCATCTATCCAGGGTTCAGAAGTTCCCCGCCAATATAGATGTTGAGAAAATAATAACACACAAACAGCTTTTTCCTCTAATTATTCGACACCACACGGAACAAAGCGAAGCGGTTTCAGCAAACAGCATTTGTAATATAATGCTTAAAAAAAAAAAAAAAAAGAGCATTTCAAAGCCTGTCAGTGTTTTTTTTTTTCTTGTATTACACTAGCAAATGTGTATTAATGTGTGGGAACGAGTGTGAGCTCATTAATGGATCCATTCATCATTTTGGCATGCAAAATTAAATCAAGACACAGTGACAGGTTTATTCAAGTAACAGACTATTTTCATTGCTTTCTGTTCATACCAATCTGGCCATTTGCATTGCTAATTCTGTTTAATGGACGCGACGGTTTGTCAGTTCCAGAGAGCTCACTTCATCCAGCGCCGCGTCGCATCATCATTCTAAATATGGCACACGCAGCTGTGTCCGTTTGTATATCATCCACGAGTGTCGACAATATGCGCGTATATGTTCCCTCTGATTTAGCAGAACACACGAGGGGGAAGAGGATCGCCAGCAAAGCAAACTGGAGCAGATGCAGAGTGCAGAATCACAGCGTTGCAGTACACGGTCTTCTCTTCTGTGTCTTATCTCTCTGATACACAAACACACACCCTAATGCACATGTTTTTCCGCCGCACCATCGTGACCGTGTGCGCTGCTTTCTAGCAAAAAGCCTCTTACGTCATCATCGGGGCTGCATATTTTAGTGAGAAAACGGCTAAATCACAATCCAGTTTGGACAGGATTCATGAAAACCGGCCTTCAGTTTTTACAACATCTGACGTGCAGAAATGTTTGATGCTCCCGTCCAATTACTTTTACACTCTTGAATGAATCCTGTCTTTGTTTTCGTCCAAAGATTCCTAAACCCTCTGAACCCCAAAACCCGCCGGCAGACTTGAAAGGCGTGTTTTCTTTTTTTTCAGACAGTGCTCGAATGTGTGAGTTGTGTGTGAAGTGCAGTTCCATCAGCAAACACAACCAAATCCAAGCCTATTATTGCAGCGTTTCATCAGAATCATTTTACATAACTCATTAAAGGCTCTTCACTCTTTAGCGTGACTGACTCAGCTGCAGTCAACAGTCACATGACAACATAGGAACATTTTGGCTGAACTGCAGGCTGTGTTTACAGGTGTAGACTCAAATTAGATGGATGTAGTGGGAAATAAACATATTTAAACAATAAAGTAAATAAATGCAGCGAATATATAGTGAAATACCTTTTCAGACCTGATGTTCAGAGTCGTGTTGAAAACATCTGGTTTGTAGAGGTTGGAAAAATTTAAGTAGTAAAATATGGATCATGTATAGTACCAGTATTTTTTTATAGCATTGGTAATAAGTATGTACTACGACGGAGTATTAGGGCCACATGAAGATAAATATTTTTCCACAGACTTTGAGAATAAAGTCCTAATATTACAAAAACAAAGTCATAATATTACGAGAAAAAAAGTCGGCATATTACAAGAATAAAGTCGGAAAACTACGAGAATTAAGTCATAATATTAAAGAATCTGCAAGAAAATGAATCTATTCTGAAGAGAGAACCTTTGGAATTGATTCATTTTCTTGCAGATTCTTTTCAGAGTCCTGACACTGATGATAATGTGGTGCTGATGTGCCAGAAGATGAAGTATCTCCTGGTTTGTGAAACCGATGCTGAAGTACAACGAAGTGCTCCACAGCCCTCATTTTAACAATTTTCCTCTTCTAAAACTACTGGTTTACGTGTTCCGACTTTATTCTCATAATATTAGGAGTTTTATCTCGTAATATTACGACTTTATTCTCAAAATCTGTGGAAAAATATTTTTCTTAACGTAGCCCTAATACTCTATTTTATTTTTTCAATTTTTTTGTAAAATAAATAATCAAAAAATTCAACCTTTTTTTTTTGTTTTATATCATTTTTTTGGGCCTTTTTGCTTTCATTTGATAGAAGCAGCAGAGGAGGGACAGGCTGCTGCAACAGGCACTCAGGCCCTGGTACATGGAGCGCCTACTCAACCAGGTGAGCCATCAGGGCACCATGATTCATGCCATTTAGCTCTGTTGTACCGCACAAAAGCCATTTATGACTTCTCTCTGCTTCTAGCCAGGGCTTCGCTGTCTTCCTAGAGGTCCATGACTGCAGCAAAAAATGAGCCCACGGTAAGTAAAAATGTGACAGGAGCAAAAAAAAAAGCACCCAGCCAGTCATCAGGGTTCAGAGAGTAAAACTGTGCGGCTGTGAAAAGTTGACGTGTGTCATTTCAGTAACCACAACATGTTTTTACGGTAAAGGCCATGCAACCATAACGGCACATCTCACGGACCAACATGTGCAACGCAAGGAACACACACACACAGAATGACATCAGCAGCTCAGCAGCGAAGGCACGTAACCTGCCAACAGAAGACACCACAGATCGAGTACAGGAATACAGTCTGAGACCACACGAAGGGGCCGTTCTCTGAGGAGAGTCGAGCCCAAACACACAGGAAGCGTAATGTTACCTGTCCACCAAGAGCACACACACACACATGCTTACCTTTCTTGTTGGGCACAGCAACTGAAAAACAAAAGTCCAAGTTGTCTCTATGTTTGTTTACAGATGCTCAGAACAGGCTTCATCAGCTTATGAAGTGATTCATTAACTCATTCATTCATAATGGAGGGACATAAAAAGGCTTCGGTGAGCTTTTCAACGAGGCACATTCATTCGTCAAGTGTTTTAGAGCCAGATCTTCTTTCCACTTACTGAAACGAGCACTTCACCGCCGTAATGGTATTTCTATACACTATGTTGAGAACAGAGTCCAGCAGACATTCACATACAAGCCTAATTAGGTCTAATAAAAGAGCAGGGTGCACCAGAACCTGATCGATATATCAGCCCTCAGGCTACAATCTGCTCAGCTGAATCAAAAGCTTATCATCAAAGCAGAAAGATTAGAAGAAAAAGACTAAATTGAGGAATAATCTACAAAAATAACTTCGTATTTCAGTTTATTATATAACATTACAGTTATTCCAGAGGCTCTATAAGAGCAAAGCGTTTTCTGCCTGCCAGATATGACTGAAACACCCCAGTGTCTCCAAAAATCTGATGTAAAGGCAGCAGGTTTAAAACGTTCACAGGATCCTGTCTGGAGCTTTTATGCCGGATATAAAAGGATGTTGGTCAGTGTTACCTTTGTTATAACTCCACATCTGAAATCCCTGCATCAATGAAACAGCTTGGCTCCCCACTAAGTCAGCATATGCTATTGTTTCACTCGCTCGAAACGTACAGATACTTTGAAATTAGTTTAGTGAGCTGCCTTATCGCTTGATGTGCAATCTGCCACATATGGGATCGCTGAATGATTTTTGTCAACAGGTGGTGCCACATTGTGAGCATCACTGATTAATACAAACAGTCCACATGCATGGCCGTGCTTAGAGGTTTCCACAAACTTCAAGCAGTTTAACCGCAGTTGATATATTTACTTATTTTGTGCAGAAACTGATTGAGACTGCAAGTGATTACATCATTAACCTACAGTCGTCCTCACATGTATTCACACCCTTCCATTAAAGAAAAGGAAAAATTCACAACAGTCACTCAAATAACTAGAAACTGAAAAAAGTAATAATAAATAAAAATTTGCTAAATTATAATTTAGCGAAATGAGACATTGCTTTTGAATTGTGGTTGAAAAAATAATTTTAAAAAATACATCTAGACAAATGAGAGCACTTTCATGATGAGCAGTAAAATCAGAATACCTGTCAACAGGTGCAGGAGTCTGATGGAGAGTTACAGAAAACTCAAACTATTTCTAAACTGTTTGTTATTTTTTATTTTATTTATCTTTTAAAATATTTCTGTTGAACCACAATTCAAAAGCAATGCCATGATTTTTCTTAAATTTTTATTTATTATTACTTTTGTCAGTTTATTTAAGTGACAGCTGCTTTTTTTCCTTCTTTAATGGGAGGGTATGAATAAATCTGAGGATGACTGTACATTTAATTAATTCATTAAGAACAGCAAACACCTATGTCATTATTGCCTGCTTACGAAATATTAATCCACACTTTCTAACCACTCCAAATCCAGAATTTTCAGTGGCCTTAATCAGCCAGTCAAGCCGGTATCACAACAAATTTGTATGTTGTTCGGGACATTTCTTTACATTATATTTCACTGAGCAGGTCTAATGACACAAACATGTCTTCAGTGGTTACAACAAAGAAGGGCTAAACATTTTACACTTCAAACGCTCCCTGTCCCACTCGTAAGGCAAGCAGCGACGGCACTTCAAAAGACAGACTGAAGAGAATTGAAACGTGTCAAGAGAATAGAGCAGAACTCACCGTCGGTTTGTGACTTGCTGAGGAAGATGGTGCTGGCCCGGGGATGATCTGACGGATTGTACTCCATGGGTAGATCTGGAAATAGAAGAAAAGAAATGTTAAGTTTCACAGGCAGCGTTCAAATTGGAGTTTTGATTGAAAGACTTCTTGACTGAGCTGAGAAACCTGATTACACTGAACAGAAACATCATCTTCCCGGTACCTATTCAGCAGCAGATGAATGCGACTGTGGTGTAAAGAGAGACAATTACAATGACTGCTTCAGGAAGAATTAATTGTTGGATATTTCAAGCTTTCCTCTGACTAAAATATATTCAATAGATTATGATAATGATGTTTGACCTGTGCAACTGAAACATGCTGTGGTCCTAAACGTGACGGATCGGCTTCAGGGGTTAACCACTTCTCTTGTAATCGTCTGAGCTAAACGGAAAAACAATCTGTCAGCCAACAGTTTGCCGCACCACTGCTGCGTAAACGGCGGTTTGTAAATCAATACACTAAGCAAACACAGCAGAACGCTATGGATTTGTATTAAATCATTGTCTGTACACACCTACCACCTAGAACCAGGATCAGAGATTAGCTGGAAAAAAAAAAAAGACACTGCAGTGAATGACAAGCTAATGATTCTTCAGCAGAGCCACCTGACAGCCGAGCGGTCGAGGTTCAGACCACACTGGCCAAAAGGCCGTCAGCAGTGAGTCACCTGTTCGATTCCCAGCTGGCCAGACCTTCGCTGCATGTCATTCTCCTGCCGTCTGGCCCCACATCTCCTGTCATTCTCCACTGTCACTCTCTAATAAAGGCAAAAACGCCAGACCTTTCAGCACCGCGCAGCTGAGGAAGTCAGCTGCTGACAGCCGGCTTGTACAATATCAATCTTGTGAGTTTATCTCTGACGGCTTTAGGTTTGGCTCGCTGCCACAGGGGGCCTGAAGGAGTTCTGTCACATTCTGCGACTCATTAAAACAAGTTACAGCTAACTGGAAGACTACAGTCCTACTGACTGAAACAAAAAAAAATAAAGTTAATATATATTGTGTAAAAAAGGATTTGAAATTCTGTACTAACTTGCATTTGATGCTAATTAAGGCTTTGAGTGTCTTTAATTCAAGATCCTATTTCTGTACTACAGTCGTGACTCGATAATCCGACCCTGAACAATCCAAAACTTTGCTATCCGACAGGTTTTTAGGAAAAACGAACGGAACCCATGAAAAACAGCCTTAACATACCGACAGTCTTGGATTCTGACTCTGACATGACATTTAATGTCACCAATCAGGATAACGGCGCATTATCTGACTGAACAATCCAACAGATTGGCTACGTTCAGACTGCAGGACTTAATGCTCAATTCGGACTTTTTTTTGGTGAAATCCGTTTTTTTGTGAGTTCGTTCACATTTCCAATTAAATGCGACTTGTATGTGATCTGCTGTGTGAACTTCATACGACCCAAAAGTGTCCCGCATGCGCAGAAGAGGACACGATGACA